CTGGGGCTGCAGCTCAGCTGGCAGAAGGCTTTCCTGCCATGCACAGAGTCCCAGGTTTGACCCTCAGACCACAGAAACTACGTACAGTGGCATACACTTGCAATCCCTACACTCAGGAGGTAGAGCCAAGAGGAGCAGAGCTCACCCTTGGCTACCTAACAAGTTCAAGGCCAGCCCCAGCCTATGGTTGGGTTTCAGCCTTGGAGAACACTGCTCTTACTTTCTGTAGGCTCGGAGACGAGTTTCATCTGTAAAGTGTATGTGTGACTATGTGGGGGGAGTCAACAAGGCAGATAGTTGCATGACACACAGCACCTGGCTTCCAGTGAGGCTCAGAGCCAGCTGTAATTACCTTCATCTTCAGATCACATACTCAGTGCACGCTTTGTGGCGCCGTCTCTCTCATTGGAACTGCTGCCTGGACGTGTCTTAAGGACACAGGGGCACACTGGGAAGTTTTGTTTAGAGGTCTAGATTAGAGTGTGAGGGCCCTATCAAGCCCTCAGCGAATGCTGTGGCTACTGGTTTCAGGACAATCCATTGGGAGCCGCAGAGCTGGCCAACTGGTAGTGGGCATGAGTGGCATGATCAAACACCCAGAGCTCTAGAGCTTATTCCGCTGATGTAGTCTCAGGGCTGGTGGCTGTGAAGTGTCTGCCAGTTTATCTAGCAGTTCGAGTGACATTTACTGAGGTATTGTACTAGACTGCCTGACAGTGTCCACGAAGCACGGAAAGGTTCTAATCTCGAGAAGCCCAGAGCCTCAGGACCGTGCTGTGGGGCTAGGCTTCGGCTCACACAGGTCCTGTTAACAGAAACTTACCGCCTGTCACTAGTTCTAGCCCAAAGTTAAACCACAGAACAAGGCAGAGCAAAGCCTTTCGGGACCAGAGCCAGACCGTGGCACGGCGCCTGTTGTATATAAGGATGTATTTCTTTATCGTCAGACAGTCTCCGAGAACGGAAGCCAAGGCTGTCCCATAACGCTGTGTGTGCAATGAGAAATGCCGTTATTGCTAGTATTAGTAGCTGACGGGGGAGAGGGGGGGGCGCTACGGGTTCCCTATGCTGCAAAGGCTGCTGTTATTACAGGAGGAAATAGAGTCGTTAACTCGTTTGATCTCTAACAGAGTGTGTGTGTGTGAGTGAGAGAGAGAGTGAGCAGAGAGGTAATGACGCCAGGTGGAGCATGATAGAAGCAGTCAAGGTTGCTTAAATGCTTGCCGATCCCACATTCTCCCGAAAGCTTCTTCCAAGGTGGGACAGATGGGAACAGAAGACCTGCCTGGCTCGTCTCTGTTTGGAGGGCTGTGGGGACCATAGCTGGCAACCGGCCTGCCCGGTTTGTCTTAATTCTCCTTGTTCTTCTACTCGAACCTGACTGTATTCTAGGAGTTAATCAACAGGCAGACTGCCGTCCAGTTTCCTGGGTAGGCAACGGTTGAAAGCAGCGCGGTCGGCCTGCAGAACCCAGTTCCTGAAGCGCCCCCTTGTGGTGTGATTAGATAAAAGGCGCCTGAACGACAGTCACTCCTAAAATGCGTGCTCCTTCAAAGGCAGCGGTGCAGGCCCCTGGGGCCGTTTTTTGTTTTGTTTTGTTTTTTTTTTGTTTTTGTCAGGAAGCACCTATTAGGAAATCTGAAACAACAATAACAACAGAAACCATTCAACCTCCGGAGCGGCAATCTCTGGCCCCGGCCCAGTGTCCCTGCCTGCGCTAAAGACCGCAGTGACCAGTGTTTGAAAGTTGCTTGCTGTCTTTATTCTCCACCCCCTTCTTGCTAACAGGCAGTCGTTTTCAGGAGCCCACGCCGCTGCCCCATTTTCAGTAGAATAAACACAGCCCTTAGCACGGAAGAACCCGACTCTACTCGCTGTGCCAAACTGCTTACTTAAGGGCTCGAAAGAGGACACGGAAGAGCGGTTAAGGCCGAGCCCTGCCCCCAGCCCATCCCTAATCTCGGGGTTTGCACCGTGGGAAAGCGGGTAACTGGTGCCCCTTCCCTTTCCTTCTTCGCGGGCAGGCCAGGGAGGGATTTTCTCTACCATTTGTGTTAATTACCGTGCCGCTGCCCCCTCCACCCCTGCAACGCTGGAAAGGGAACACAAGGCCTCTGTACCGCTGGGCTGCACCTCAAACTCGGATTTTATTGCTTCAGGCCCACGACTAGCCTAGGGCTATGGGACAGACCACACCTGCAGGTCCTGGACACACACACCTAGACTTCTGGGTCTTTGAGGGGAAGACGGGGGGTACCCTAGACCTTTTTAATCCAGTTGCCCAGTGCTCTGGACTAGTTTGCACGGTGCTTTGGGGGTGGGGTGGGGGAAGGGAGAGGGGGAGAGAGAGAAAAGGAGGAGGGGAGAGGGTGAGGGGGAGAAAGCGAGAAAGAAAAAAAAAAAACAGTGTTAAACACCCAAGTTTAAAAAGCAAAGAGCTACAAACAAAAACAGCACTCTGGCTTTCTCTCTCCCTCCTGTTTTTGGCAGCTCTTTAGGTCTGTGGCTTCTGCCCCAAGAGGATGAATCCAAGAGCGGCCTCGGGCTGCCGGGAACAACTGCTCTTTTGAGTGGATTCTTTTACGGATATCGGTCAAAAAGTTTCTGTTAGCAGGAACTGGAAGGCATCACTGGCCGTGTGCGCCCAGGTATGTGCATACGAGTGTGTGTGTGTGTGTGTGCACTTGAATGTGTGTGTGTGTGTGTGTGTGTGTGGGTGTGTACACTTGCACGCACAGTGGTAGGCATTTCATCTCACTAGCTCCATTCTCGGAGAAGCCACGTCTTCTTGGCCAGGGAGAGGAGACACTTCCCTGTGCACCTATAAATAAATCAGTAAATCATTAAGCGACCCGTGGTGACAACCCAGCACCTTTGTCCCCTCCCCTCCCGCACTTTCTTAATTCTGTTTTCTTTGGGGAGAGTATTCTGGGATGTTTAGCTGCCGGTCGGGTTTGCTTCCCACGCCACCTGCCAGAGCTGGGTTGATTTCTGTGGGGTTGACTCCTTAACCCTGAGCCCTGTAGCCTCTATGTGAGAATTTGTGGAGTGCCTGCCCCTTTTCCCATGACAGTCACTCGAGGTTAGTGTCTGCTGTGAAAGCATCAGAGATAGGATTGCAACTGAAAACACACAACTTTCACACGAAACACAAAACTCGCTCCTTAAACTACTGCAGGGCTGAGGGTCCCTGCGATAAACCGTTTGTTTGAGTTTGTGGCTTACATTTCCTGGCCTTCATAAAAACAAAAGCAGGTCCACAGTTTCATTAAGAGTGCCCTAACGTGGGCCTAGGAGAAGGGAGGGACCAGGAATAAAAGCCAGGGAAGGGCTTTGCCCAGCTTCTCCACAAAGGGCCCCTCCCCCACCCCAACCTGTGTTTGGTTTCCAGGAAGCAGGAGGGTGCCATTGCCTCCTGGCCTGAGTCACTCCCTCCTCGCTGCTTCTGCACCTCCCTATCCTGCCTGGAAACATTTCTCATCTGAGGCCAAGGCGCTGGTGCCCTGTAAGTTGAAACTGGCCAAGATACTGTCACCTTCCTCTCTGGGCTGCGGTGGCCAAAGGTCACAGCAGGCAACACCCCTCCCCCACCTCACCCTCTAGCTCCTCAGGATTTATGGACAAAGGAACTGACAGCTGGCTGGTCTCTGATGGCCGATTGGGGGGACTGGGTAGCATGGCTGCTTCCCCGACTCTTCCTGGTTTCCCAAGGTGCTTTTAGGTTCCTGCCCTAATCTTTCTAGCAAAGCCTTCTTAGCACAGTATGACACGGAGCAGAACAGGGAAGACGGGGGCTCTGAACCCCACAAGGACAGATTTGGAAGACAGTGACTTCCAAACCAGGTCAGGAGGACCCAGGAAGCAAATTTAGCTTAAAGGAAACCACTTCTGGCTGTATTTGAAACCTAGAGTCCAATCAGTGTGCTGGCAGCCCAGAGTAAGGCCGTATTGCCTTTACTTTCTTCACATCTGGGCGTTAATGGTCAGGGTTCTTCTTTGGATACATTTGCCAATTTCCCAGTCTGCCTTCGGCATGGCCCCTGTGCTCTCATCCATGCCAGAACAGGATAGTCAGTGTTTATTTCTGACCCTTGGGATGCAGTGGGATTTTGTAAACGTGTGTGTGTGTGTGTGTGTGTGTGTGTGTGTGTGTGTGTGTGAGTGTAATCTGGCGGTCTTGCAGGAATGAATATATTCCAAAGGGACACCTGCGATCATCTTTGACTATCACGCTACTGAAACAACCAACCCCAAGAAGTTAAAATTTTTCTGGAGTCTCCAGATAGGAAGGAAAAGGGGGGTGGGGTGGGATAGGGGTGGGTGGGGGTGGGGTGGCTGCCAGAGGAGGCGTTTGTTTACTAGAGAAAGCTGCAGCTTGTGGGAGTGATGGCGCTGAGCTAACGGTGAGCAGGGAACCACGCTGGGGCTGCACTGCTTGGCTGTGCATTCCTGTCTTCTATTTCTTGCCCTCTTATCAGGACCCTCAACAAGAGGGACTGTGGGAGGTGGGAGAGGCTCTTCCCAGTGCGGGCACACTGAACCAATCTCCATTTTCTGGCTTCACTATTAAGAGGGCTCTTTTAATTGGCTTGCGGAGGAGTGGTGGCCAAATCTGGTTTGCCGGAAGGGGCTGTGACCTTAAGTCCAGTCACGGGTGTGGACCAACCTATTCCTGTCTCCATGAGTTCGTAAGTATGAATGGTGGGTGTGAACATGTATGTGAAGGCATATCTGAACACATATGTGGGCCTCTGTAGTGGACATTGTTTTCCACCCGCCTAGGAAGGCGAAGCCTTAGTAGAGACCATCAGAGGGCAGCATTTAACGCTTAGAATCAAAAGGTTTTGTAAAACTCACTATTTTTTAAAATTAAATTGGAAAAAGAAAAGTGTAGATGACCGTCAGTCAATCATACGCTACTTTGCATTCCAACTTAATGGGCACGATGGTCCAATTCAGTTCTCTATACAGGAATTAAAAAAAAAAAAAAACACCTCAAGTATTTGCATAATCTTCTGTCAATTTTTATTAACTGGGTTAGGGGAAGGTTTTTTTTTTTTTTTATCAGAGCACATCATGAAAACATTAGGACATTACAGACAGGCGTGAGATAAGTGTCAGACGGAACAGATGAAGCAGGTCCCTCAGCCATCTGAGAAACATTAATAACGAAATATCGCAGAGACAAGTCTTTTGTTAGGGGTGCCGGATGCAAAGGGAAAAGCGGAGGTCTTGGTGCCGCCTTGTGTTACAAAATAAACCTGCAGCTTTAGTTCATTTTCCTCTGTGTTTTTCTTTTGGAGTTGGTAATCCGTGCCCTTGTTCCTGCACCTCAGAAATAATTGTTCCCCAAATCATTGCAGTCAATCACTCCCCTTCACTTTCAAGGACCCTATTTGAAAAGCAACTCTTCCCCATTCCTCTTCACAGCCCACACATTCCATTCTATAAAGTTGGCAGATGCCCAGGGCAGGGCCTGTCCCGAGTCCTCCTCCCCCAAAGTGTGAACTGGAAAAAAAAAATGTTTTTCTCCTTCCCCCCCCTCAGGCTTAGAGGATGAATCTACACTTGCTACAAAGCAGAATATTCTTTTTCTTATAAGCATTTTTCTTGTACAACTTACTGGATACTGCCATGTTGTTTTTTTTGTTTTTTTTTTTTCCTTAACTTAACACAGATGCCTTTAACTACCTACTCTCTCCCGCACCTGGCACTCAGCAGGTCCCCTCGATCAACTAGTTAACCTGCTAACCCATTTTTACACTTATCTGCCAGGAAAGACCGGACCGGAGACGTAAATAATACACCTTGATCTACATCAATTCAGGTTGAAGTGGTAGGCAGAATTCCACTGGCTGGCCAGGAGGAAAACAAATATATACACAGCTCGGAGACGGATGGGAGAACCCGGTGGGAACTGGGTGGTTTGTTTACTTGGATTTTCCAACTGGTCCAATCGTTACAGGGTCTGTTTGCACTTGGGCATCTGACATCCGCTTTGGTCCCTGGAGAAAAACGTAAAGCAGCCGGTATAAGACCAACAGTGGCAAGGAGGACTTACCACACACCTATTCTGAGCTAGGTCCTGTGCCGAGTGACCACACCTAGTCACGGATGTCCTGCTTCAACATCTAACGACACTGCTTTCTGGCTTTGTGACATCTCAGACACGTCATGATTCGATTTCTTTGGCTTTTAAGAGAGAGTCCCCAAGCCCATCTCAGATGGTTGCTCCCAAGGTAAAGTGTGCTCATACTGTGACACATTTCCAACAGTCCTGGGGTCAGGGGAACTTCCTAGTTCATTCTAGACAGCTCATCCCAAGTTACTTTTGAGCTACTCCTTCCTTCAGCGTCTCATAAGATCTGTTCCTCATGGCTATCTGAAGTGATCTTACTATCCGTTATCTGGCATCTTCCTCTCCCTTGGATTTAGTCTGCTCCATTCCCAGGGCCATGCAAGTGCCGGGCAGGGGGAGGGTCAGCCTTTCTACTGTCCCAGTGTGGCAGGAGGAGGCGTTGCTGTTATGGCTGTACTGTTGTGCTCATACCATTCCTGTCTAGTGTAACTCCGACATAGTCGAGCTAGTCCTTCCTGCATACAGTTCTAAGAGCTCAGACTAATACAAGTGCTCACGTCAGCACCAGCTAAATCAAAGCGTGTACCTCCCTTGTCTTCGGCCATCTCCCACTTACAAACCCTTGCACCACGTGACTTTCCCCTATTTTACAGTTTTTCTTTTTCTAGGATCCTTCTTCATTCGTTTGTTTGATTTTTCCAGATAGCATCTCATTGGGTAGCCCAGGCTGTCCCGGAACTTACTAGGTCGCTCAGGTTAGCCCTGGACACACAGCAGTTCTCCTGAGAGTTAGGGTGATAGGCCTGCACTGCTAGACCTAGATTTTGCAGGATTTCATACCAAGTGGATAATAGAATCTCTGGCCTTTGAACACAACTTCTTTTTTGTCACCCATGAGTTGAGACTCACACATGTCACATGGACCAGAGGCACTGTTACTGGGGGCTCTTTTTTCAGTATGAGAAGGAACCTTAAAACAAGGGGGCACACATAACAGTGTTATTACGTAACACACACACACGATCTGCCACAGAGTTTAGTATAGAGAACATGGCACAGTAGAGCTTTTGATTTTGCGTGTGTGTATAATCACACTATAATGTATAGTAGTCATATGGTCTAATGTACATATACCCTATAAAGCATATAATACCCTTTATGTCACATATCACCTCTATGGTACAGCACTAAACTGTGATGTGTACGCTTTGATGGCGCTCTGCGCACCGAAAGAAGCAGCAAATGCCCCGGCCGCTTACCAGGCCCTTCAGGAAGCCCCCCAGGGACTGTCGCCGCTTCTCAGACCTCTTTGGGGTCTTGTCCCCATTCTGCAGCAAGTTTGCTTCCACTGTGGGCTGCTGAGCACCCTGCACTGGTTCTCTGGCGTCCTGTTTGCTGCTCTTCTGCTTGTTGGTCTCAGCCACTGACTTCTTGTCTACCGATTTCTTGTCCTTCGAGGAGGTCTCCTTGCTTTTCTGGGCTGTTCCCACGGGCTCCGGCTCTGGGGGCGAGGGCGTCTTCTCTGGAGAGTTTGACATCTACAGCAATTGCAAACAAAGCCCCTGTTTACTGTCTGAAGGACGAGTCTTACATAGCAGAGAGGTAAATGTGTTAAAACAGAGATGTTCAGATTTGGGAGATGAGTTTGGGTAAGATGTGGGGGGAAAATCATCAAGGTCGTGCATAGCAAGGGGCACGTATTTATGTATTTATCTTGAAATAATCCATTTCTCAATTGTGCTTTCCCTGCAAGCACGCTCTCCGTTCATCGGCGGTCTACGTAAAGAACTTGGGCTGAGCCACTTAACACCCCCCCCCCCAGAGCCGCAGCTTCCTCACCTGTAAAGGAGGCAGTAATGAGAACTACCCCATGAAATCTACAGGATAGCTAGAGACAGAAGCTGATCTGATAGAGCATTGATTGAATAACCAAGCGGCTTGACTACAGTTCCATCGGATTTGAAGCTATGAAGATATAAGCCTGGACCTTTGAGACTACGTTTCAAGAGAGAAAAAAGCATGCCTGGACAGGAAGTCAACACGGGGGGCGGAGGGGGAGAAAGAAAAAGCAGAGCTGAGAAATTTCTGAAGAAATCTGTGTGGATCCAGCCATTCCCGAAGCCCTTTCATGCACAGACCAGTGTTGAGAGTGTTTCCCATAATTAGCACAAGTGGCTTATTTCTTGAGGGTGCTCATTTTGAAATTCATAATTTTATATGCTTTATATTTTTATGTGAAACTATCCTTTTATTTCATGAAATGGTAGGTTTTTTTTTAAAACCCCATGCTTATTTTTAGTTTAGTTTTTTTTTTTTTTTTAATGGACATCTTTCAATACCAAAATGAGACACCCTGCAGGGTATCTACAATGTAAAGGCTGTAGAAACCCCAGTCCTGAAGAGTCTGGCAAAACTATAGCTACATATAGCCAAAAAAACACCCCAAATCTGGCAGGATGTAGAAATCGTTTTCTCATGGTGATTTTGAACTCAGATATCTACCAGTACAGACAATATAAAAGCAGAAAAGAGAGAGAACAACTGCAGGGGAATCTTGCTCCCCGGCTGTGAGCGAGCCAGCCGAGGCCCAAGGAAGTTCTCCGGTGTTGGGTGGACACGGGTCTCAGCGACTCTGGCTTTGGTGCAGGGGAGGCAAGTTGGAGTAGTGGGGGAAATTTGATGAACTCAGTGTCACATATACCATCCTATGGGCCAGTGACTGCTCAGATCTGAGCAGGGAGGTAGCACGGCTCTACATGGCCCATTCCCCCACAGGAGGCTTCTGAGACCTCGATAATAAACTCTTGTGAAATACAACCAGTATTAGCTTTAAAACAGCCACTTTGAAAGTCACAGCAAACAATGGAAGTATAACTACTACCCCATAGGCCACGTTTGACCCCTCCATGTAGGTCTACAGACTGGTTCACGGAGTCCTGACCGGTCCCCAGGCAGGGAGTCTGATGGCAGAGATGTAGTGTTGACCCAGGATAAAACCAGTGGTTTCCATCAGTGAACCCACAGCCCTGAGAAAGATGCCGAAGACAAGCTGACAGGCTGCTCTGAGCCTGAGCCCCTGGAGACTGCAGCTCTCCAGGAACCCAGATACCCTGGGCTGTAGCCGACACCCTTCAAATTATTCTGCAGCCACGTGTCCCTGATCTTGTCATTTCCCAGCAGGCAAAGCTGTAGCAAGTGCTAACACATGGAGGAGAATCCCTGAGTAGCATAGGGAGCCCAGAGCGACTGCTTTCTTGGGATGAAAGGGAACCCTATCATGATGTTCCTTGGGAAGGCCAGGAGGCCGAGACGCTTCACAAACCTCTGAACTTCCTTAAATTATATGGAAGAGGTCAGCACCCACATCAATCATAGCCACCAGCTCCATGGCCTCTGACACCCTCGCCTGATCTCCCTAAGCACTGAACCCACGTGATCATACCCACATGAAGACAGACATATAATTAAAAGATACATATTTAAAAATAAAATAAGTGTAAAAAGAATCTGATTATTATTCTGATTATGTGTGTGTATGGTGCTAGGACTGAACCCAGGGCTTCACACATGGTAGGCAGGTGCTCTGCCCCTGAGCCAAGTCCTCTGCTCTTTTCCAGCATCTTAAGCTTTAAGGCAGGGGCTTGCTAAGTTGCCCAGGGTGGCCTTGAACTCACTCTCTAGCTCAGCCTGGTCCTGAACTTTCAAAGCCTCTTGCTCCAGCTCCTGAAGTCTGTGTCACCAAGCCTGGCTTCATCCGATTGACTTGAGAGCAAGACTCGTTCTGTTATCAAACGCTAAGACTTGACATTTTTACCTCGAGTCTGACTCTTTTTCAGAACTTCCAACAAATATTCGTGTGGGGACCATCGAGGCAGAAAGTGGAAACCCAAGGCTATTGGCATGTCCCACCTTATTTGGGGTCTGGAGGCCATGCAAGGCTAGGAGCGCTCAGGCTTCTACAAATACCTACGAGAGGGTGAACCTCAGAGGACGGGGTGTCTGCTTCCCTTCTCCCCCTGAAATGAAGCAAAGCCTCTGCCATCTCCCCACGATGACGTGCCACATCTCAAGTGTAAGGCCCTGGAGGTGGGGTTCTCAAATAGACCCCGAGCCTCCAGATAAACAGCAGGAGGTCTCCTGCTGACTCAGCGCCACGAACTTCAATGCAGTTTTAGAATCACTAAAATTATTGGTATGGCTCTTTCCCTGCAGGATCCAGGTCAACTACACAGTCAACTGGAATTTGTCCTTTTAAACTAGTGTGTGTGTGTTCCGTGTAGCGTGTGTTTGGTATGTGTGTGTGTGTGCAGTGTGCATTATTTGTGTACAGGGCGTGTGTGTCAGAGGACACCTTTCAGGAGTCAGTTTTCTCCTTTCTTACTGAGGCAGATCTGTCTTGCTACTTTTGATGCTGTGCTGTGCACTTCAGGCCAGCCGGCCCATGGATCGATTCTGTCTCTGCCTCCCGTTTCTCCATAGAAACGCTGGGGTTACAGATGTATATCCAGCTTTTCCTGAGGGTCTGGGGTTTGAACTTAGGTTGACAGGCTAGCATGGCCAGCGTTTGCTCCTTGAGTAATCTCTCTGGCCCATATTTTCCTTTTTGTGTAAAGGAAATTATTATGTTTCCAAGGTGAACCTTTGAAAGTTTGTCCTCCAAAGTGGCTGAGATTATAGATTTGGAGGTCCAACCTAGATACAAAAAAAAGTTGAACACACTATGTTTTCTAATATTATATTTCTAATATATAAAAACACATACAGATGTTTTCTAATTGTTGTTATGAATAGAAACTCTAGACCATATTCTGAATTAAGCTGTAGATTCATGTGACAATAGAATGGTTATTCCCTCCCAACAGTTTAATAATAATGACAATTGGCTGAATTATGCAACTCCAGTTCATACCTTGAAAAGGAATCCGTTCTGTGGCTGTGTTTGGAATAAAGTCGTAATTCATTTTAAATGAGGTCAGACAGATGGAGCCGAATTCCAAAGGCTTACCGTGATTATAGGAAGAGACACCAGGGGGCACTCTCTTCCCTCGCCCCTCCAGTTCCACCCTTTTCCGCCCAGTTCCACCCTCAAAGCAGAACCAGGGGCTTGGGGTATGCGAGGCCACGCCTCCTACTAAGAGAGCTGCTGGGCCTCTGCCCAGCCCAGTGGTTCCATTCTTAAAGGGAAGACCCCGTGCAGACATAGACTGTTCTGTTCATTAATAGTAAAGACGGTAAGGAAATGAGCATCGTTCATCCTGCTCTGCGCCAGGTATCACACAAGGCAACTAGAAAACCGAAAGCACCTGACAGGGCTAAGAAGAATCAGGAAAGACAGAAGAATCATTACAGTATTGGGCATGAACAAACATGATGGCGGGGATGACCGAAGGGCATGGGATCTCTTTGAGGAGGAGACATTTCTGCTAAACCATGAAGGCTGGGAAGACGTTTTCCACAGGAAGAGAGCGAACAGCAGGTGTGGCCCAGCGGAGGACTCTACCGGGTCTGCAGAGCCCAGCACTGTTGGGTAGACACTGGGTGCTTAATCAGGAAACGTGTCACAGAAGGCTGGGAGTGGCACTGGAAATGAGTGTGGAGAAGAGGGAGGAGGCACCGGCTAAACCCACCACCAGACTGAGTTGATCACTTACTTGGCAGCCGAAGTCTCTCCCGTTACTTTCTTCTGAGCGGGGAACCCCTTCATTCCCTTTCACTGACTACAATAACAAACAGACAGTGTCCTTTCAGTGACCGCCACACAGACAGCGGACAGGTGCACACACTTAAAAAAAAAAAAAGCAACGACCCCCATCATTCATTCTTGAGGTTTAGGATCGAGAGCCAGAAGAAGCAACTGGAATAAAAAGTCACTCATAGAGATGCGGCTGTTTATGTCACCAGAGTCCCATGGACTTCAAGCGTTAGCTTCCCAAAGGGAGCAGCTGAAGTCCCATGCCCTGGGATTATGTAACTGTGGGAAGAATAGATTGTCAGCAAATCGCCAGTGTTGAGGCTGGCTCCTGTGGCCACAGCGTTGTTGCAGAATGCTATCTTCTGGGCATAACAGCTATGGAACAGCTGTGACTGCTGCAAGGGAGCCTCAAGATTAGGCCTGTTGACTGTCCCTCATAGAAGCGGGATTCGGGGGAAGGGAGTATTAGACCCTCACCTGAGATTCCAGCCACCCCTTCCTCCCCTCCCCTCCCAGGAGCTAGAACACAGTGTGTGGAAGGTTAACTGGGGTAGAGGGGAGAGGCTCCATCTAGCTAGCTCATTGTCATCCATGCTGAGGTAAGACCTTCCAGTGCTGCAGCTACTTTGGGGTCACCCCAGCTCCTGTAAGTAACCCCTCGCTCACGCTCTGGAAGTTCGCAACATAAGACCTCGGAGGAGTGGCTACTTTGCTCAATCACTGGCCCCCAATATGGGGTGGATGGACGTTCCTGTCTCTCCAGGGAAACACTTGTAATCCCAGCACTTAGGGAAGGAAGGAATGAGGGAGCAGGACCACGAGAGAGCCTAGACTAAATGAGATCCTCTTTCAAAAGGGGAAGGAGAAAGTGGCTGAAGATATGAATGAATGAATGAATGAATGAATGAATGAATGAATGAAGTGATAAACATTTTAGCATTCCATTGATACCACCTGCTTCTAAGTCTTTGTGCTATTTTCAGTCACTGGAGAGTTGAGTTAGTGGGAGGCCCATTCCCCATCCTTTAGCGCCCCCTGGAGCCAGTGGCTTCATCTAGTTGAATCTGCATCTGTGATTCCTTCAACCAAGTGAGCTAGGCTAGCGTGGCCTCAGGCATAGAGGCATTAGCCTCACCTGATGCAAATTCTTGTTAGAAAGAAAGATGCAAATTCTTCACACCTGCTTAGATCCGGATCTGCTGAATCAGAGACGATAGGAGCCTGGGGCTCAGCCACCTTGTTAAACAGCCGTCCCCCCCCCCCCCCCAGGAGGGGTTCTGAGCACATTAGTGCTCTAACTGGCCATGACCAGACTCGGGCTCACCCTGGGCTTTCACTGTGCGTGCCGTGATGCCCAGTGCTTGATGCACTCCCATACCCACGTGAAGCGATGATGAGCACTGAGGTCTCCTCAGCAATACTGACTCAGGTCTAATCTCTGAATGGCTAGTCATTGCTTAGCATGGTCTCCTCCTAGCTGGGCAGGGACTGAGGCCTAAGCAGTGTAGGGCAAAGAGGAGACTCCCAATTTCACAGTTACCACCTGAGCCGTTCTTTCAGCAGACAGCTTGCACTCACAATGCACAGCCAAGAACAGTTAGTCCTAAGCGCACAAGAGGCAGGTTTGGAGATGGCTCGATGGTTAGAGTACCTTCCAGGACAGCAGCAGGTGTGAGGACAGAGTCCAGACCCCAGGAAGCTGGGTGGGTATTTGTAGTCTCAGGTCACAGCAGGTAGAGGCAGGATTCCTGAAAATCAGGCTAGCTGGGCTAGTCATATCCGAGAGCTCCTTGTTCAACCAAGAGACCAACACCAGCCTCAGGCACACAGGCACACATGTACACACACACACACACACACACACACACACACACACACACACACACA